TAATACTCTAATGTACCAATTACTATATACTTATATCCACTTATATTAATATCAATTCTAGAATATGTAGTTACTAGGTTCATGTATCAACGTATCATAATTACATAATACATACCTCCAAACTGTATAAAAAAAATAATGTTCTACCTAATTAATATTTTGTGATAGATAAAATCCAAATAGAGTTTTATAGGTTGGTATAACAATTCCATATAGCAGGTGTTATAACAATAATAAAGTTGTGGACATAACCAGACACTGATACAGAGAGGTGATTGAGGGGATCATGTCTCCTCCCCCCTTGTTGCACAAACACGTCTCCTTATTTTTTGTCGGAAATACTTTTTTTTTTAAATTCTATTCACGAAATCTACAATCTATATATATTCTTTGTACACTGAGTAGGTTTGATAAAAGACAGAAAAATAAAATGATTCAATTATTGACCATATATTATTAGATAACATTATATATTATCTATTTATACAATAATATATTGGTATTGCATTATATTTAATTTTTTATTATTTAAAATATACGAGAAAGATATTCCTGTGAAGTTTTAAATGAATGGCCCCTCCTAAATCTTCACTCTGTATCATTGCCTATAACTTACAAATATCTAGCAGTATATCTGTATATATACATATATTCGACATAAATATTATATAATAGCAGTCGATCACTGATAGAAACTACTTCTGCTGATTAGACAAAGTTGTATTATATTTAAATATTTAATAATTAAGATAAATATACTATGATTCATATATTAAGCTTACAACATGAATTATAAATTGTAATGCCTTGTATTTTTTTTTTAATTATGCTCTCTTTGCTTTTTCATGTTAGTCCGATAACTGATACAATTTTAACAATCGTACTATTAGTAATATTTTAATATACAATTTAATTATTTTTACAACATCTTTAAACCGTCTATATTATAAATATCTAATAAATAACTATTTAATACGATATGTAGGCAATTTCGTGAAGAACTGTAACATTAAACTATTTGCAAATAAAACTAATTAATTATAAGTTAAAGATGTCAATATGTACCTAATCTTGTGATATACAGAGAGTCAGAGATTTATTATTGATATTCATATAATCCATCACGGAATTTATTAAAATTATAAGTGGACTAGCAATTAATAAAAATAACATTAATTATAAGAGTCTATAATCTATATTATGTAGGTACAAATAACATATATTATGCATGACTACATCTATATTATTATTCATACTATTTTGCTAATATTTGACTTTATTTTAAGGAGTGCCCATTTGCCACAATTAGACATCCGAAAAAATATTATTTTATAGATTCTCTAAAGTCAATTCAAATTAGGATTTGTTTATCATTATTCATTATATATTTACATAAAACGTATAAGAAATATATTTACATTCTTAATTTGTCCATTACAATTAAAATACTTGAAAAAATATGGTATTATTCGCAAGAGATTTGTAATGTAATATTATTTTCCATATTGACATTATTAAATCATTATCGTAATATTGAATACTATCATTATTATTCATTATAAATATTCTAATGTGAATAATTTAAAATAATTGTATGCATATAAAATGTAAAAATTACTCAAACATAAATTTGTTTCATTACTTTATCTTGATAAAATATTTTCCTCTAATACTGCAGCATATTAGTTTATTACACCTAAATAAGTTGTTTTCTATGTCTATCTGATGATAGACTCTATCACATAAATTATATTTGGTATTCAAGGTTTCTTGTACCAATTAAACGGCTTATTAATTAAACATCAAACTAAACATTATTGCTGTTTATACGAAACTACTATTTAGTAGATAAACCTTGTGCGTGATAATATGTAACTATATTACATTTTTTAGTTTATAGAAAACCCATTTTAAGGGTTAATATTTTTATAATATTATTCACACATTTATTTTAAGTAATTACTATTCACAGCCTTACAGATTACCGTCTACCCAGTTTAGCCGTTATCAATTTAATATACACATTTGAATTGTTATATATATTTTCATAATATATAACGGAGATCTAGAAATCATAGTTATTGTTATTTTGAGTCTTATCTTTTATTTCGTAACAAAATTATTTTGCTCCAAATTTTTAAATTTAAAACAATATAACTTACTTAAGTAAAAATGATTACCAACAATAATTAATTGCCTTATTTAAAAGTACTTCATAATAATTATTACATCAATAATATTGACAAATTGTAATTCAATCTATCAACATTCAACTAAATATGTGCTTAGAATTTAGATATAAAATAAATGTCAAGTAAMATTTAAAAATATGTTTCGCAGTTATTTGAGTTTTCCAGTATTATGATTTTACTGATTTTTTAATGCGTTGGCATATTTGTATTTTATATATTACCATTGATTATAGAATAGACTATTTTATAATCAATGGCATTACTTAAAAGAATATAAGATTAAAACTACGAGACTACTAAAGTATAAATATTCACCGGAAGTTGAAAACGTTTTATAGTTGATAATAATATTATGTATAAATACAAATGCATAATCGATAATCATGGCTTTTTGTTTTGTTATGTTTATAATAAATAATAGTAATGAAACTTCAAAAAAATGTTCATGTATCAAATCTAAACCGTCTTCTGTTTCTAGTATTGAACAAAGGTCATAAAGGAAATTTTCATATAGGTATATAGCTAGTTCAATGATGTGTTTTGTTAATGTATAAAAATTGTTTCAGCTTACTTTTCCCTCAAGCTCAACTCCATTTTACCACCTTCTTACATTTTTTTATTGCAAAAGTCTTTCAAGTCAGTCTCAATACAAATTTGATCAGTCGATGTTTCTATAAACGAATACATAAAATAATTATTTCCTTAAAATATTCAACGATCAGTTGTTTCTCTCTCATCCATCTCCAAT